TTTCTACAAATGGCAGCACATGCACGACGAAGTGAGGATGATAAGGGAGGGAATGGATTGTAGATCCACAAAATAGCATCTCGTTCTGCTTTGTGCTGAGAGCTGACTGTAGGCGGGTTATTCGTTAACCTTGGTAGTGCATCTAGTGCTGGCTGTCCATCTTGAAGCACACACATCTTGAGTTTTTAGAGAGGGAGCTGCCTTGCCACTGCAGCACTTTTGCCCACCATCGTGGATCTACTCCTCTCCACGACATTTCATGTGAGTAGTTGAGAGTGGTATGCATGTGAGATGATGAAGTAGATGCTAGCAGTCGTATGCACAGGATGCTTGACGGACAGACTCATGTTAAGGGCGAAGGTATTGAGTTCATTTCGCAGGTTATGAAGAAGTTGGTGCAGTATTCAGCACAGCTAGCTGCATTGACTCGTTGCAACGTGCAAGAACGCATGAAATACGGTCACTCGTTGGCGAGTATCATTAAACACAGAAATGTATCAGTCCATGAACACACTAATTCCACATCGCTCTCTTCACTCTGCCATCTACAAGCTAATTGTAGCCCTCGTGCAGTCCAATGTCGGTTGCATTTGGTGGAGAGAAGATGGGATATGTCTACTTGGCGAAATGACTGCAGCTCATTAAAAAGGAAGCACAATCTCCTCTTGCATTTCGTGTGGTATTCGGTAACTTGCGACCAACAATGGGGCTGCTTCCTTCGGTTCAGGCGAATCAGAAAATCTGAAAACATGCCCCTCACAACGCATGCATTCATACACCATCAATTCCTCATTCCATCAGTGGGAGATTTGCCTAAATTTGGACCACCTCTTTGTATACCTCCTCAGGTGCTGTCCACTTCTTACCCCTCAATCTCTCAAATTGATTCCCTACAGATAGCAATCTCATTGTTACTTACGATCACACCTACATAAACACCATCACATTGTAGTTCATCCTTCCCATTTGCGATTAATGAGACTGCTATGAGTTCTTACATGTCGCACCAGATGCAGCATGTCAGCATTGCCAGCATTTAGAAAACCCGGTCTCCCACGATATCCATCTCCAAATTGGGAAGAATAGTGCTAGTGACGATGAAGTGCAGTCGGCAGACGGGAGATCAGTGGCTGCTATTTAGATTAATGGTGTGCTACACACACCGATAAGGTGTGCCCAAGGGAGAATCAAGTCAAGCCCAGTGTTTGAGTGGTGACATACTGCAGTTGAATGGCATGTTGTGACGGTGAGACTGCAGGCAGCAGTGCGCATATGCACTGAGCCAGATCAGTCCACGCGCTGTCATCCATGGCGGTCCTGAGATGACTGTCACCTTTTCTTGGCATTGAACAATCACTGGATAACATCCACCTCTCCATTTGCCATCCTCCATATACTGGTCTACCAAGAATCTGGTTGCAAATCTTCAGATGAGTTGATTTAGCCACGCAAATGAGAGGAAACTGAGTCGGTTTGCCTTTGCAATGAGATTCCTAATGGTTCACTTTTGACTGATAGTTCACTACGTTCTGCCAGTAGCAGCAAAACCCTCCCTAATCGCACATCAGACTGATAACGAATTCCTTGCCAATCCAAAATCTTGCAGATCGGCTGATGCATTGGGAAGGGTTGAGGTGAACTTGCATAAGCACCATCACGAAATGCCAAAAGGATGTTTTGTAATAATGAGTTGATGCTGACTTGTCTGTCGGGGTTCCGAAATGTGCATTTACTTTCTAGTGGCGCTATATTGCAATAATTTGAAGGAGCGGTTTCTCCTCTTTCAATGGCTCTTGCAATGACAGGGGATAGAACTCGTGCGAAAAAGTAGAAATATCGGTCTGAATAGGATACAAGCTAAAGTTGAGTTTGTGGCCACACCATGTGAACTGAATGGGATGAATTTGCGGAGAGGGTTTTACGTAAACAAGCCACTAGTCCAAACGTTGTGGTGATTTCACATTGGCTCTTTGCCGGCAACTTCATGGACAGTCGCTAATCAGGAGGTGAATTCAGACGTGATGTGGCCACCGATGCTTGACAAGGTGACTAAACGACTGATAGATTAAGTGGACAAATCAACGAACATGAAGAATGTCAGGATAAGTGTTTGCCATCATTGCTGTGGTGGATTATTTGAATAATAATGAAATCGGACGGAGATGCACAGTGGTGTGTAAGAAGAGATTTGAGTGGAGAGAGAATGCGTGGTGAAGGACTAGCTGGAGGGCAAAGATTGAAGCATGTAAGTGTGGAACCACTCTTCTGCAATATTGCCCTCACCAAAAGCGTTAACCATTGCTGGCAACTCAAAATCCTCTTAATTTTGCCCCAGGTGTTTCCCATAACCCATCACAAAATATAGAGGTTTGTTCAATCGCCATTCCCTGTAATGCACCTTTACTGATCCTCATGAAGTAAGTTTATAGTGAAGCGGACTTGCATTGTGTTTGGAGTGGATGAGTTTAATCACTTCATTTAGTTAACACACCGCCACAGTTAAGGAGGTGGCACTGCGAGCCATATCTGCTCTACACATCACCCACCCATTAGGCTGATTATCCCCTTTCTCTGTTACCTCGGCTTTATTTCAATTTTCATCTTGTCCATTTCTAAAATCCCACTCAATCTCCGAATTTACATGGTGCCTTGTTTTTTAGTACGTCACATTTGAACCTGCGTTGACGCTTACTGTTTTCCCTACTGGACACTTTACCACTACC